CTGGTCAAGAAGGATCTGCGTGATGAGGTGTCCGAAGGGCAAGACCTTGGACCGCTTAGGGTCCTCCCTGGAAATGAAAGAATCATACAGCAACCTCATCACACTCCAGATGAGGGCTGGGATAGATACCCAGCAGCCCGTGTAAAAGGCGTAAAGAGCTGTCAAGTAGTCATGACGCCTCTAGATCTTGTGGCCCGCCATGTAAATGTTCTGGAAGAGAACTGTGTTGATGAACCAGAGATCGTCAGGCAAGAAGGTCCTGGTGGCGAATGTCTGACCACCGGCATGATGGCCTGTCAAGGAAACAGCCATGTCAGAAAATGAAGGCCTATGCAGCCTCGGGTATGTCTCTGCAAGCTCAGGTGGACATCGGTGTGGGCACTGGCAAGCACGGGCCAGAGTGTCAACTGTGATGACAATCTCGTGGCCGTCCACTGTAGTGATCATCTCTGCGGTAGATCGTGGCGAGGGCCAGAGATGCTGAAAGAATAGCCGCACCAGTCGCGGGTATACAAGGCCGGTGATTGGGGCAAGGATGGTTGAGAGGCCCCGCTGCATGATATCCTGATAACCAGACCGGGTCAGGATGGACTCGGAGAAGTACGCAGTATCGAAGTACGACTCCTGAGCCACGGTCATGGCTGCATATCTCGGCAGCAACTGGTCACGGCGCTGAGCCAGTAGAGGTGGCTGCGGTGATGGCATGGCGGCTACATCTGCCTGATGGCGCGCAGAAGAAGGTGATGGTGTGCAGGCTGGAGGAGCCTGGGATGTAGATGGCATGTGGTCAACTCCCTTCTCAGCCTCGTGGGATGGGGACTGAGGGGGAGTAGCCTGTGCGGGCTCCTTCTGAGCATGAGATGGCTCTGCAACCATCTCTATCCTGGGCCGTATATGTCTGCGGGGTCGCTGTGGCCCCGAAGATCTCCTGGCTGTACTCTTGTACCGCGAAGGCATGATCTGTAAAAAGACAAGAAAATTTCAATATATAAGTCAGTGCCAGATATATAAGAATTTAAGTGCATAATACAAACATGTATGTCAAATAAGATAGACAAAATATGGATGACATGAATCTATGATAATAATGAAATGTGAGTCATGATAAGCAATGTAGGTATGAAATGCATCCAATGTGGAATATCACAGGCATTGTGCATATAAAGATAGCATGAAGACGACACAAGATGAATGGAGTGTGTATGTGTGATCTTTGAAAGTTCGATCGATCGAACTTTAAGTTCGATCGATCACCAAAAATTTTTGATCGATCGAAGTGAAAAATGTTCAAAAGTTAGATCGATCGAAGTGAATTGGATCAATCCAACACTTGGATCGATCGAAGCATGAAAATGCACAGGTTGGATCGATCGAAGATAGTGAAATGAAGTTCACTACTTTGATCGATCGAAGCACAAGTTCGATCGATCGAACTGTACCAATGCCGATTCTGAAAAGTCGCAGATCTGTGAGATCTAGAGCACAGGGCCCACACAAACGTGTTTGTGGGCCTATCTACACACCAAACATCCAATCCTCAACACCCAAACACTCCCCAAACGCCACAAATCACATCACAATCCCCAATTTGGTTCGACCGAATGGATATGTATATGTATATCATGTAACAGGAAATTTAAGCTTCAATAATGGACGATTTACACATTTATAACATGATTCAACATAGAAAATCAATAACATGCATCAATTTAAGCTTGGAATCAAGAAAATTGCATTCGGTTTACCTCTAAACCGAGAGAGATGAGATGAGAGAAAGGTGTGAAGCCGCGGGGAAAATGAGACTTGAGTTGGCCAGAATTTGCTCGCCGGAGATGGGGAAGATGATTGGGAATTTGGTTTTTGCCGGATTAAGATGAGATTGAGAGAAGAGGGAGACTAGGGTTCGGTTTCCTTTTGAAGTTGGATCGATCCAAAGTGATCGATCCAACTCGGTTATATTTTAAAAACACTATATGTAGAGTTCGATCGATCGAAGATGGAGTTAGATCGATCGAACTTAGGTCTCCACTCTTAATGGCATTTTTTTTTTTTTTTAATTTTGAAAAAATCAAAGGAAATTAAATTAATGAGATGTGAATTTCAATCAATCGAAGAAAGATTTCGATCGATCGAAGAGGATAAAGAATGTACAAGTTTAAGGGCTCAAGAGTTGACACGTGCTGGAACCTTGGATCGATCGAACTTGGAATTCGATCGATCGAACATGAAAAATTTTGAAAAGTCCCGAGAGCATGCATTTTGGAATTTGGATGCAGGTCCAAAAATTTTCTAAGTGTTGGGACTCATGATCGATCGAACCACATGTTGGATCGATCAAAGGGTAGTTCGATCGATCGAAATGGTTTACGATCGATCGAACTTTTAAAAATTTGGAGATCCCGAGAGCATGCATTTTGGAATTTGGATGCAGGTCCAAAATTTTTCTAAGTGTTGGGTGCAAAATGAGAGCTGGATCGATCGAGTCCATAGTTGGATCGATCGAACCAATTTTCGATCGATCGAACCAAAACTTGGATCGATCGAAATTATGCCTAAATGCTCAAAATGACTAGAATGCTCATGTAATCCCTTACTCAGTTCCTTCCAATGTATATGAACCACAAAAACAGTATCTAGGCTTCGCAAGAATCAAAATGCAAGATAGAAATGAGAGAGGAATAGGGTTTTGACATCCTACGAGTTTCGGTGCTAGTCTTTAACGTCTCTAGCAAGACCTTGGGCTCTTTCAGCCCGGATCAAAGATCTTGCAATGCATCCCCTCCTTTTTGGGATAAGAGATGTTTCGAGTCACTCCCAACAAATGGTTCTTGGAAGAACTTGTTGGGGTAAACTCAAAAGACGTCTTGAGTTCCTTGTCAAAACTTTCCTTGGGCTTCCACGCCCTTTCACAACAAGAGTTCGAAATCACTTTTCTTGCATGCAATGCTGAAGATGAAGATGAAGGCTTTGAAACATTGTTCATACACAAAAGCTCATTCCTTTCACAAGCAGGATCATGATATTCCTCTACCACATTAACCTCTTCCTCATATTTGTCAAATGGATTGGGTGTGGGGTTAAAGATGTTCAACTTCACTCTCATGTGCCCAAAAGAAATCTTCATTATCCCTATCCTACAATTTATGTTGGCATTTGAGGTTGCCAAGAAAGGACGGCCAAGGATAACCGGAATTTGGTTCTTTGGATTGGGCACCGGTTCCGTGTCAATGACGACAAAGTCAACCGGGAAGAAGAACTTATCAATCTTAATCAACACATCCTCAATTATCCCCCTAGGCTTCTTAATGGATTGGTCGGCAAGTTATAAAACCACCGACGTCGGTTTCATTTCACTTAGGCCCAATTTGACATAAACCGAATAGGGAAGAAGGTTAACACTAGCCCCTAAGTCAAAAAGTGCCCGGTTGATGACATGTTCACCAATGATACAAGATGTTGTAGGTGCACCGGGGTCCTTAAACTTTGGCAAAGTGTTGTGTTGTAGAATGGAACTCACTTGTTCGGTTAAGACCACTTTCTTTGATGTTTGGCTCTTGTTCTTCCGCTTTTGGGTGCATAAGTCCTTCAAGAATTTGGCATAAGCCGGAATTTGCTTAATTGCATCCAAAAGTGGAAGATTGACTGTGACTTGCCTAAACATATCCATTATCTCATTGTTCTTGGTCTTTTGCCTTTCTTTTGAAATGGACCCTTTCAAGGCGTCCGGAAATGGAGCTTTTTCAAAAACTCTTTCAGCATTTTCTTTCAAAGAATTTTCAGCATTGGACTTGTTCAATTCATTGGATTTCAAATCACTTTTCAAAGAAGAATCATGAATAACATTTTTCAAAGAACTTTTCTCAAACACATTTTTCAACACTGTTTTCAATGAATCTCTTTGGAAACCATCTTTCAACTCACAATTTGAGGGCTTCTCATTCTTAAGATCATGCACATGTAATGAAGGAGGAATAGTGTGTGGAACGGGACGGGTGACAACTTGAGGTTGTACCGGTTCACTCTCTTCATTAGGCATTCTAACTTGATTGTTTACTACCCTACCACTTCTCAAGGTTGTTACCGCATTGACATGCTTAACAGTATGCCCTTCCAATGAGGATTTGGTTTCTACAACACATTGTTGTTTGATTGGGGCATTCATGTGCATCTTTCCCTTCTCTCTAGCATTAAGTGTTTTAGCTATTTGCCCTACTTGGGTTTCTAGCTTGGCAATTGATTGAGAATGAGAATGCAACAATTGAGTATTTGCTTCTAGAGTGCCCAAAGCATTTAAAACCTTTTCCTCAAAAGCGGAACCTTTAGAATTTCCTTGAGAATATGATTGGTTAGGAAAATGAGAACTAGAAAATTGATTTCCTTGTGAGTTATATGGTCTTGAACCTTGGGATCCTTGGTTTTGAAGTGGAGGTGGAATGTATTTCCCTTGAAAACCGCCTTGGGAAGAGTTTGAGCCCTCCCCTTGGTTTTTCGAAGAAAAATTAGGATGATTCCTCCAACCGGGATTGTAATGGTTACCATAAGGATTGTTCCCTTGATTCACAAATGTTGCATTAACTTGCTCAATGGGTTCATTTTGAATTTGTCCATGAGGACAATTAGAAGTAGAATGAAGAACACTAGAACAAGTTATACATGATTCATTTTGAGCTCTAGGAGAATGGTTAGGAAAGGAAGACACTTGATTCGCCAAGTTTTGATTGATCAATTGATCAAACTTTTGAGATAAAGACTTCATCTCGGCGGTTATATCATTTGAGTGGTCAACTTGATGCAAGCCAACACTCTTCCTACCTTGAGAATTTCTACCATTCCTAGATGACAATGTTCTATGCAAAGAGTTTTCACTCATGCTCTCATAAAGACGCCACACGTCTTCCTCTTGCCGGTCTATATAGGAACCTCCCATTGAAGCATCAACCATGCCTTTATAATTGTCCGATAAGCTTTCAAAGAAGAATTGGAACAATTGCCATTTAGGCATGTCATGGTGAGGACACTTCCTAAGCAATTCATTGAAGCGTTCCCATGCCTCGTGGAAAATTTCTCCTTCCCCATGTGTGAATTCTCTAATGGCGGTTCTCATAACATTGGTCTTAGAAACTGGATAGTACTTTTTCAAAAATTCTTGTTGCATTTCTGCCCAAAAAGTTATAGAAAAAGGCCTAAGGTTGTTAAACCAATACTTCACCTTATCTTTAAGGGTGAATGGAAAAAGTTTCAGCCTTAAAACTTCTTCCGGTATGTCCGTGTATCGAACGGTAGAACAAACTTCAAGAAACTCATCCAAATGCTTGTAAGGTTCTTCACTAGGAAGTCCATGAAAGTTAGGTAGCATTTGGATAGTTTGTGCTTTAATCTCATAATGGTGTGCTCTAAATGGTGGCAATTGAATGCATGTGGGTGCATTATACTCATTAGGCACATAGTGATCTCTCAATGCGAGTGGTGGATTAGCAACTTGAGGTGCAACATGGACACCTTGGTTATATTGAGCTTGATTAATGATGGGGGGTTGTCGTGCATACATTGGCCTTGGAATTCCCATTGGAATTTGGCCTTGTTGTTGAGGAGGTTGATGAATGTATGGCCTAGGCATGCCTAATGGAACTTGCATATTATCATTTTGCACATTAGGATGAAGGATGCCTTGTTGGTCTATGTGACCAAGGTCTTCAACATGATCATCATTGAGAGCGTCCATTGGTAGATTGGTTCTATATGAACTTCCTCTTCCCCTTGGATTCCTAATAGTGGATTCTAAATGCAAATCAAGAGGGACAAGAGCAGGTCTCAATGAACGACGACCATGCATACACAATGCAACACGAATAAGCAACTTTCTCAACAATGCAATTAAACTTCACAACCACAATTTTCAAATGCAATGTATGTCAAATAAATGCCTCCACGTGGGCCCCCGATTTAACGAAGGAGATTGAGTAAGAAGGTCTCACAATAGTCCTTTAGCACTTCAACTCCAAAATTAAAAGCTTAGCTTAGCAATTTTACTTAGCAATTTTTCATTTTAAGCATTTTTCCTTTGCTTTGCTTTCCTCCTTAGCTTGGAATTACTTTGCTAGCTCCTTGCTCAATGCACCTAGTCAATGAAGAACAAACTTAATAAGTAATCAAAAACAGAAAATAAAAAGAAAGTAAAGACACGATCAAAAGAGTACTAATCCTAATTGAATTTCACAATTCGACGTTGCCAATTTAAAATCCCCGGCAACGGCGCCAAAAACTTGCTGTCGGTTTCCTTGATGGAGTCGCCACAACCAACAAAGCTTGAAGAGTTGTGAATTTAGGAGGTGGCCAAGTTTTACATTTATAAAAAGCCACTACTACCTTTCTCTATATAAAATATAGATAGGGTGAGTAGGGATCGTCCCAAGGGATTTGATGGTGTATCGAATTGTGAAACTATGGTAATTAGGGTTAGTAGGTCGAGTGATCACACAATTGATTGGTTGGTTGATTAAGCTAAATTGAATTCAACTAAATGAAATAATATGAAGTAAACAAGAGAGAGAGAGGTCTTGGGGTGTAGAGATCACCACCAAGCAATACTTTTCTATACTACTAACAAGTGATCAATTGAGGGTAATGGATGTGTTGCAATATGATAAGGGTGTGTGTGCATTAGGTTGATTCAATTGGCAAGGGTGACAAATCAAGCAAGTATTGTCTAAACATCATGTGAAGAGCACAATATATCTAAGCAATAGAGCATATATTGTCTAGACAACATGGGGATAGCACAATAGATCAAAACAAGTCATTAATCCCTCATTAGGCTCACAATCCACATACAACACAATATTAGAGGAATATGCCATTTGGACTCACAAGCATGGAACATCAAACATCAAGAGTAGATTGTCCTCCCATCTAACATTACACTACCACTACACTAAATCTACATTACTAGCATGAAAATAAAGCTATCTAGACTAGGGGAGAGGCACAAACCATCAAGAATAGGTATAAACCATCAAATGAATCAAAATAGCATTCATTAAGCATATCATCTTGATAATCTCTAGATCTATAGCATCAATACACATAGACATGCATCAAAAACACTAAATCTAGGGATAAGCACATGAATATCCTACTCTAACATACATAGACATATGGATAGAATAGAATAGTCAATTGGAAGCATTAAACCATACAAACCATGAAATAATCAAGATTTATATATACATTAATATCAAGATGTATCATACAACACTAATCCCTCAATAATACACAAGATTAGAGTATAAAAAGCATGCTTGGGGCTAACTCTAGCCCCAAGAGGATGTCTAGCCACTCATGGTAGGGATGATCTAACCCTCAAGGGCTAACTCCATGGCTGCTTCTTGTTGGTGAAGATCTCCTCCAATGGTTGCTCTAGCTTCCTCCCTTCTTCCTCTCCAAGAATAGCCTCCAAGATGATTTTCAATGTGTGACAAGAGACTCAAGAGAGTTTTCCAAAAAGTGTATCATATTCCTTATATAGGTAGGTCAAATACACCCCATAATGAGCTGTGGTCGTGCAAGGCATATTCTCCAATGATTAGATGAAGGACGGAATAAATGAGCTGGACTTTAACTTTTTCTCGCTGGAGGAAGTTCGATCGATCGAACCTTAACTTGGATCGATCGAAAATGGGTTCAATCGATCGAACTGCATCTTGGATCGATCGAAGTGATCTAACTCCTCCGGATAAGGACAAGGCTGAGATATTTCGAAGATATTTATGGGGAAGAGGACAAAAGTGGTTGGTAGGCGTACAGCTGTGGATAAGATCAATCATTTGAATAGGACAAAATATGGTTCGATCGATCGAAGGTGATGTTAGATCGATCGAAGGTGATGTTAGATCGATCAAACTTGGAATTTCAGCAAAGGCCAATGTTGGATCTATCAAGAAGTACTGTGATCGATCATAGATGTTCGATCGATCGAACTCTAAGTTGGATCGATCGAACTTTTCAGCTACACAACTTTGATTCCTTTTTGCTCCTTTCTTTCTCCACTTTGCTCCCTCCTTTGGTTTATCTCAGGATTGCTTCAATTAAGCTCTTATTTGGCTGAGTTAGCTCAATTTTGGGATTAGTGCCTGAAAATATAAATAACACATAATAAGTCTAAAACGGCAAAGTAAGATAGATAAAGGTACTAGAATGCTTAAGCTTAACGGGTTTAAATGCGCACTTTTCAGTGCTCATCAGTAAAACTTGAGCAGACGCACTCAAATGGCAAAACTTTGTGAACAAAAAAAATTCAAAATGATAAAATATGAACAACGGAAGAAACAGCATCAAAAACTGAGTCCCGAGCAGAAAGTTATGCCCAAAATAAGTTTGGCGCAAACCGGGGCCAGAAACCCTGAAACTGGAAAACGCCGACCAGGAGGAAATTCTAAGAGTACACAACTCGACGAAATATGAAAATGAATCCCGTACGAGGATCCAGGCTCCAGATGAGACATTTTATAACAACTTTCGTTAATTGCACAATGGCCCCTACAAAAAGGGTTAACTGCGATACTGCCCCAGAATGAAAATATCTTCCAAAAGATATTTTCTTAGATGCCCCTGAAATAAAATATCTTCAAAAGATATTTACGAAAAACACCCCAAGAAATGAAAAAGATTCTAAAGAATTGTGCATCCATGCCCCTATGGGCACCAGGAGCAACCAGAGTACTTTCTTGCAAAAGTAAAGATACGTATTTTGAGGAAACCACTCAAGATGAAGGCACGTGAAGTTAAAAACTAACTCCGAGCACGAAAAGTGAGGTTGTGCCAAAAACTGACAACCGGAGATAAGACGAAATAGGGAAAATAACAGAACAGGAAAAAGACGAAATAGCGCATAGTGTCTAAAAACGAAAAATGCGAAAATGACTCGGTCCTCAAAGGAAGTTGTCAATTCACATGAAAGAGTCTTAGAAACCAATTCCGAGCACTCGAGATGACACTAAGCGACACGAAATAGAGCTCAGAATGGAAAATTAAACGAAAAAAATTCATTCGTAAAATTTCAGGAAAAAGGAAAGGAAGACAAATGACCGGGTCGTTACAACCTACTCTCCTTAAAGGAATTTCGTCCCCGAAATTAGGAACACACCAAAGAGAACAGAATAATGACCGAACAAAAGGTCAAATTAGAGGACAGCTCACAACGCACTGAAGGACAAATCCTGAAGTCTAAAAATCAACTAAAGGAACGTAAAACCATGAACTGAGGCAATACCTCATACGAATCGGCACGTTAACTCAACGTTAACCACCGAGAGAATCCCACGAAAACAAAACGTCAAACACAGTGAAAGAAGAGAGTGACAAGGCAGTACGAACAGTGACCAGAACCCGCCCACACTTACTCGTCAGCAAGGTAGCATGACAGTATAAGGCACTAGTTCATAACATGCCCCAACCAGGTCAACTCTGAGAAACCTATTGATACGGATGACATCAATATCGAAAATGATTATTACCAAAAGCACCGCGGGAACTAGGCATCTGCGAGAGTTGGGGTAGCTAATCCCAAAACTCTGACAACAATGACACTAGCCCCATTATGCTTAAGGCCTTAGATCTAAAAGCCACAATGGAAAAGGAAATGAAACGGTGCCTCCCTGGCCCACGTCTCGCTCCACCAGACAAGGAAAAGGAAATGAATCGCAGTCGTCTACGCTTACATGAGCCTCACTCACATCAACCAATAGAACAGACAAGAAGGTTCCCTACATGGGTCCTCACAGAATGAATTTCTCCTATCCAAGGAAGAAACTCTTGAAACAAGAACGCATCCAAGGGATACGACAGATCCTAAGAGACAATGTAAAAACCTGACATAAAGTAAACAAGTAGCATGCAATATAGCATAACTATCTACTCACACAAGTAGTAAACAAGTTGCCACATAAGCAAATAGGCATGTTATCAAATCAAACATGTTATCAAGAAGCACGCAGACATGTTATCACACCAAAACATGATAGTGACACAAAACATGTTACCATGAAGCATATATACACATAAAGTATGCTTAACAAATAATAGATGTCTCAAAACACCTAAGCCTGTGAACA